AGAAAAGCTGCGTGCCTGAGGCCGGAACGCTGTGCCTGAGTCCCTGAGGCCAGGGGCCTAGGGGTCCTTCTCTGTGAAACTTGGCGAAACGCGGTATTTTTGCTGGCAAACTACGGGAACCCGATAAAGCTGCAACGAAACATCTATTTTTGCAAAGGAAACTCCGAAAGGACGACATTTTTGCTGCCAAACTTCGAAACAGCAATATTTTTAAAATTAACCCTTGTTTAGGTGCCAATATTTATGAGGTTAGTCTTAGTGATAAATCAGCAGAAGAAGAGTTAGTAAAGAAAAAGGCTGCGTGAGAGTATCGGGAGCATGGCTATGGCCAGAGCAGGAGATCGCTTGAACTCGCCCGCCTCTTGGTGAAAACGGGCGAGTGAAGATCTGCTTCGGGAGTGTCCGAGTGCTGCGAGCCGATAGGCAAAGTCGGATTAGAGAGGCCGTATGAGTATTTAAGACTGCACGTGGGGAAACAAGAATTTCGAAAAATCAATGTATCTTTCAGCGTTCTGGCGGAAGATTCATTCTCATTTCGATCAAATTTGTAAGTAAGTGGGGAGGGGATGAAGATTTCGACTGCGGACAAGCTCTCAGAGTGACGGAGCGTTGTGAAGAGAGAGGAGAGAGAGAGTTAGAGGGAGATGGGGCGCACGTACCTGAGACTGTAATGGGGCGAGGAGACAGCGAACAATGTAAACAGGTGAGCGGGGTGAGAGTATCAAGTGGTTACCTGGGCAGGGTGTATCTGGCTCATGCTCGGGTGGAGAAGTTCATCTATTTTGCTCATCCTATCGAAGGAAGTAGCTACCCTCTATCTTTCAGCGTGCATGGCTGGACATCGTCGTATGTTTCCATGCTCTAGTGGAAGATTCGTTCCGATTTTGCTCATGGAGGTGGCGTGAGGTGAAGTGGGGGGTGTTTCCTCTGTGCGAAGACTAAGGGAGATGCACGAATCCAGCCAAGACATTGACCAGGTACTTGGAAGAAGTGGGAGAAAATACTTACCTGGCTGGGAGCAGTAGATAACTCCGCGCTATTGCGAGAATTTCATTCCGATTTTTCCCATCCTAGTGATTGAGGCAATGTGAGTCCGGCCGCGAATTGGATACTTCCTTGGAGGCCGACCCCGGGCGGAGCTGAAGGTATGCCTGCTAGCCTGTGTGTGGCCATCGTATGGAGCCTAGCAGAGAGGGCCCGGCTGTAAGGCTGCTGACCCTATGTATAGCTGTGGGCCGCCTACCTCCTTTGGCCGGAGCAGTAGAAGACTATGGAGTGTTGTTTTGCTTGTGGGTAAACATGCTGCACCTGCATGGCCAGCTGGATTGCATGGTTGCTTCCCTAAGGAAAGATAGAGAGGACTGTGATGCTGACCTGACCCGTATCCTGAGCTGCGGCCAATGTGTTTGGGTCTTCCCTAAGGAAAGATAGNCGGCCAATGTGTTTGGGTCTTCCCTAAGGAAAGATAGAGAGGACTGTGATGCTGACCTGACCCGTATCCTGAGCTGCGGCCAATGTGTTTGGGTCAACGGGCATGACAGAGTGGTCAGACGCCAAAAGAGGGGGATTTCTTTGGGTACTGCTGTACTTTGGTTGCTGTCGTATTCCTCTGTGGAACGATGCAAATTTTTGGGTGCCTTTACGGATCGCAGAGGATTACCGCATCACACTGCGCTCGGCCCAACTCATTATCATTACTACCATTCGAGTAGAGCACACGAGGGGATATTGCTGCAAATTGGAAGGCTGCAAAGAAATCAACAGTTGAAAGTTGAGAGTTTACCTTCGGTTTGACCAGACTACAACATGTTATGGCTACCATTGCGGGGCCCTC